TAAAATTCTTGCTTTTGAAATAAATGTTTGCCTTGTTTTTATTTATATATCAAAGATATATTTTTACACAATATATATAATTTTTTAAATACATATAAATATCTAATTTTTTCAATTTAAAGTTTAAATTTTTGCAATGTTATGTAGTAAAAGTTTTCCATTGATTCAGAATTAATTAATTTCTTCTTTCACAGAAAGGTATGAAATTCTTGGAAGCTAAGAAAGTGGTTTAAATCATCATTGGGTTTATTACAAGAGAGACATTTTATGAAAACAGAAGATGTTGATCAAGTCTGTATTGACTTGTCTAAAATTTCCTAATAGCATTTCTTCCCTAGCCAGCTGCAACAAATTCCTCTTGTTAGGCATTATATTTAATTTCGAAAGCATACAAGTCCGCAAAAAGTCATTTAAACGTTATCTTGATTATTCGAACGTTCCTAAGCTGGATGAGGCCGATCTGGAGGAGCAATTCATCCGAGGTAGTGGTCCAGGTGGCCAAGCGACGAATAAGACGAACAATGCGGTCCTGTTGAAGCACAAGCCCACGGGACTTGTCGTCAAGTGCCATGAGACAAGGAGCCAGTGGGACAACAAGAAACGTGCGCGTGAAATCTTGGTGACAAAGCTTGACAACTTGCTGAACAAGGAATGCTCCATTGAAGCCCAGATACATGCTCTTGAGAAAAAACAGCAAATGCGAAAAGAATATAAGAGGAAAAAACTAAACGAAATGAAGAAAGCGTTTCGGGAACGTGAAGGCTTGACGTGATTGTTCTATGTACATTTCTTCTAGAATGTAAATTAATTTAAGGAATAAATAAAATTATATGAAAAGATAATTTTTAAAGAACTTTAAAGAGATCCAACTTATAAATGTTAACTATAATTGAATCTATCAGGTAAATAAATTTATGATTACCTAAACTTTGTTTTCAAAAATACAAAAGCTCCATTTTATTTTTAAACTTTAAGTAGTTAATTGTGCTATATAATCTTTATTATTAACTGATTAGATTAATCGTCTAAACTATAATTAAGATAAAGAACACTAAACTTGAAATAAAATCAGTCTAT